CATTTTCCTCCAGGTAGCTTCAGCCACGGTGCCCCCAGCCTGGAGCATCCATGGGGTTGGTGTGACCCAAGGGCAGAACCTGGCACTTGACCTTGTTGAACCTCATCCCGTTGGCCTCGGCCCATCCATCCAGCCTATCCAGATCCCTCTGCAAAGCCTTCCTACCCTCCAGCAGGTCAACACTCCCACCCAACTTGGTGTCATCTCCAAACTTACTGAGGGTGCACTCAACCCCTTTGTCCAGATCATTGATGAAGATGTTAAAGAGAACGGGTCCCAGTGCCGAGCCCTGGGGGACACCACTGGTGACCACTCCATTCCCCACCACCCTCTTGGCCCAGCCTCCAGCCAGTCTTTAACCCAACGGAGAGTCCTCCCACCCAAGCCGTGGGTGGCCGGTTTCTCCAGGAGGATGCTTTGGGAGACTCTATCGAAGTTGTCACCTTGTGGGAGAAGCCGCTCATGAGGACACTGTTGCGGGCCAGCTCGCACATGTCGCAGGAGCTCAGCTTCCAGACCTGGGTGGCGATGCTGTACTCCTCCATCAGCGGCTCCTGTTGGGGGGACACAACACACACAGCCTCACCACCCACCCATGGACCACCCCCCAAGAGAGGATGGGGGGTTCCCAACTTCTCCCACCCTCTCTGGAGACCATCAGCATCCTCCAGAGCCCCTCGTTGCCCTGCTCTTTGCCACCATCTGTCCCATCACCATGACTTGGGCTGGTGGCCACCCCGTAGCTGTTTTTGGGGGGGTTGGTGACCCATGACACCCCCACCCGCCCTCTTCCCAGTCACTCACCTTGGTGAAGTGGAACTGGAGGGGGTCATCGGTGGAGAGGGAGACCATGAGGCCCCGCGAGAGGTACTCGGGCAGGGGGTTGCGGTGGTAGCTGAGGAAGAGGCTGTTGTTGCTCAAGGGGGACATGGCGATGCCGATCTGCGCCAGGTAGTAGAGGTACTGCAGGACGGGGGCCTGGAGAGCCGGGGGGAGGACACACACACAACGAGGTGAGGTGAGGAGGGGTCCCCAACCACGTACCCAGCCCTCAGGGGGCACCCCCCATCCCCTTGGTGCTCACCTTGCGGAGCAGCAAGCCATGGGAGATGTTCTCCGAGACCATGAAGCCCGAGACGAGGTGGTGGATGGGACCGGCCTCCCCGCAGTGAGGGCGCAGGACGAAGGTGTGGAACCCTCTCTTCCTGCAACGTGGGGCTCACCATCACCATCTGACCCCCCACCAGGATGGACAGAGGTGCTGGGGACCCCAAGGTGTCCTCACCTTCGGAGGTGGTTGAGCACCGTCATGTTGGCGTACATGTAGTACAGGTAGTAGGAGTAGGGTGGGTTGTCCTCCTCCACCCAGTTGCCCGGTAAGGGGCTGTCCAGGTTGAAGATGTGGTGCTCTGGTTTGGATTCATCATCCACGCTGTCGAAGCCATCCACCTGGCCAAGGAGACAACCCCCCCAGAGTGGGATGGTCACCCCCTCCAGAAGATCTGCTCCAGCCCTACAAGCTGGGTCCAGGCTGGGTGTCACTGGTGTGTCCCCCCCTCCCCTCCCCGCGGTGCTCACGTGCTCCAGGAAGAGGTGCAGCTCGGGATGTTGGGCAGGGTGGATGGTGGCCTCGTAGAGGGGCAGGAAGATGTTCTCCAGCATCTCCTGGAAGTTGGCCAACTGCTTCTTCGTCCGGTAGACATCGCTGCAGGGTGGGGACGGACCCAGCTCAGAGATGGGATGGGCCCATCCCACCCCACCCCACCCATCAGTGGGGTGGTTTCCTTGGTCTCCCCACCCAAGTGATGGCCTCGGTTGAGGGTATCTGCCCCCCACCCCTTTACTCACAAGAGCCGGGGCACCTGCACGAGCCAGCGGACGTTGTTGGAGTGGACACGGTGGTTGACGGCCCAACGGGCCAGCTTGTCCCACTCGTCCCGGGACCGGCCGTAGATGGAGAGCCGCAACTCGGCGTTCTGGTACTTGCTCTCCTCCAGGTCGGACATCACCTCCTGCACCAGGGATGGGAAAGTGTCACCCCGTGGCCTCCAGGATGGAGGGATGTGGGTGGCATTGTCACCGTGGACATCAGAAGGAGGGAGATATGGAGGGTCAGCCCTCAGGGTTACTCACCTTGATGATGTGGGCAAAGTACTTCCCCGAGACGCGGTTGTCCGTCTTGATGAAGATCTCCCTCAGGATGGACTCGCCGATGGGGTTGTACTTGGCGTTGAACTTGTCGAAGCGGTGGAAGGTGTTGCGGTCCTGGGAGGGGGACACAGACGTGAGCTGAGACCCCTCATCACCCCAGAGCCACCACAACATCCCTAACCAGAGCCCCCAACATCTCCCCAACCCTTCCTGGGACAACCCCTAGAGAAGATCCCCCACCCCAACCAGGGATGGGCTGGGAGCCCTGCTCATCTCCAGGATTTGAGGGGGTGTCCCTCGTACCGCGTGGACATCCAGCGTGTCCACGCTCAGGTCGTAGGCGGTGAGGTTCATGGTCTCGAAGACCTCCTTGAGCGTCTGCTCCTTGCCCTTCTCCACGTGGACAATTTCATCCAGGTGCTTCTTCATGGCCCGCTTGATGAAGCGCAGGAGATGCTTCTGGTTCATGCAGGACGAGGCGTGGATGTGGGTGTCCACCTGCGTGGCCAGAGGGTGATGTTCAGCCCTGAGACCCTTCAAGTGCCCCCCAGGTCAAGCCAGGACCCCTCCACCACGAGCTGGTGGGTACCTTGCGGATGTTGTAGAAGTCGCGGTGGGGCACCTTCTTCTGGGCCGCCAGCTCCTTCATCTCGTTGAGGAGCACGTGCATCTGGAACTTGGAGCTCAGGTACTGCAGCCGGCGGTAGCAGAAGGATTTGCTGCCCAAGGCGGGGAAGAGGACATCAGTTTTGGAGGAAAGGAGGGAGAACATCCAGCCCCATGAGGCTGGTGCCCACCAGGATGAGGGGACATTGCTCTCTTGGACCCTCCTCCCCATGCACGGTCACCATGAGCAAGGATGGACATGTGGACATGGGAGCTGCACCGGGACCGTGTGTCATAGCCACCACCATGTTCTCTGGTGCT